TATAGCACTGGTCATACTTTTTGTTTTAAATCTGTAGGGTTGTTTTTGTCTTGTTGCAGTTTTTCTTCTGCTTGAAGATATATCTATTATTCAAATATAAAAGTGACTTAGGAAAGAACATCCTAAAGTTTATTTAGAAATTCACCAAGCCACATACTAATGCATCTCTAATGGGGACATTTCTTTTCACACCTCTAAGGTGATTGAGCCTGTCCTTTAAAGTGAGATTTGCAAACCAGTGTCTGGCAGCTCCAATTAGCTTCATTTGGATTTGAAACACATCACAAACAGTAACAAGGTCTCCTAGGACACTCCTCTTTGCAAGCAATGTAGTCATATTTCCTCATTAGTTCTTTTCAATTGTCACTAATACCATGTTCCAGCTTTTGAGTTGGAGACAAAAAACATAAAAATTTGGTATGTATGTAGAATGGCCATTGTTTTCTATCATTCAAGGCTCTTTTGAATTCCTTTGATGGTTTTGAAGCTTACACAGCTTAATTCATTAACCTTTACCCTTCACATAAATCAGGTTACTAGGAATCTATTGCTAGGGAGACAGATTTTTCCCTCCACTGAAACTAAGTAATGCCTTCTCTTTAAAAAAAAAAAAAAAAAAACCTATATTGATCACAAAAGTACCTTTTTGCTGTTTTTCATATTTCATCAAATGTTTTAGGTGCATTTTAGAACATTATCAAAAGCAAGTGAGCATAAAATCACGTTATTATAAAAAATAATTCTGGATGCTTTGGATAGTTTGGAGCAGGTTTTCTGGCCCCTTTCACTGTTCTAACGGAGTTTATACATATATGTACTCAACAGCTGTTACTCAGGAATTTACAGTGGTTGCAATTTTTTAATTCTCTTCAGAACCCTGCCAAAACATAAAAGCAAGAAAATAATCTGAGGGGAGGCAATTCAGAATGAACTAAAATATATTTAAATGAACCTAGGACATTTCATTTGGATAAATTTTTCATATAGGCCCTCATTTTTATAAAGAATGATGATGTGGGACTTCGAAGAAGATAGGGGTTGTTCTGTGGTTTCATGCAGGTGAAAATAGAACGTATGTCTTCTGATTCTTTATTCACTCTTGTTAAAACATGTCTCCTCTTGTTTCTCAGAACTCAGAAAGGTGGTTTAGTAGGCTTGTGTTTGATGTTCATGGGCTACTTTAACAATATTTGATATTCTTCTGCATTTTTCCACTATGCCATATTCCTATATTATGAATTTATTCTTAATAATCTTATAGATTATTACTTTCCCTAAGGATATTGTTCTTTTCCCAAGTTCTGTAATTCCTTAGGTTGTCATGCATGAAATAGAAAATCTTTGAATGCACTGACCCATAGAAAATGTTGGTCATATGGTATTCTGAGGTTTATCCTTAGGGATGGTGGGGACCGGTAGGGGGATAATGGGAAAATTTTGAATTCTGGATTCTGAGTTTAGGAATTCATGGCTTACCCCTAGGGACAAAACTATAATTAATCACTGAGATTAATGCATATTCTCCTATTTGCTATCTGTGAATAGGAGAGGGGATGGAGAAGCAAAGGTTTTTTTTTTTTTTTAAACTTTTATTTATTTATTTTGCGGTACGCGGGCCTCTCACTGCTGTGGCCTCTCCTGTTTGCGGAGCACAGGCTCCGGACGCGCAGGCCCAGCGGCCATGACTCTCGGGCCCAGTCGCTCCGCGGCATGTGGGAACCTCCCGGACCGGGGCACGAACCCGCGTCCCCTGCATCGGCAGGCGGACTCTCAACCACTGCGCCACCAGGGAAGCCCCGAAGCAAAGGTTTTAAATGTGGTCTTTGGTTCTTTCACTCTCCTTCTCACAGGCTATGACTTTGCAAACATTCCTCCCTTTCTTTGGTATCATTTTTAATACCCCTTAAAAATTTACATGAATACCTGTAGTCAAAAGGTGTAAATAATTACTAAGCCTTGTTTGTTGCCTGCATACAGTCTATGCAGTGAACTGGGAAATTCTCTGATGTTAATACACTAAAGGCCACGACTAAAGCCAAGACTCTTGAAACAGAGTAGATTTAGAGTAAATGTGGTCAACAGACTTGTGTTAGGGTACCTCCTGTAAATATACTCTAGAATGGACTCTAAAAGTTTTAGAAGGAAAGGACAGTCACCATCGTGGCCTCTCATCATGACTTGCTATCACTACAAGCTGCCTGGGAAACTAGGCCTAGACTAATCACAGGACCTAAGACACTAGCCAGGGACCTGATGTGGGGTCCCATTTTCACCAATTTGCAGTAACAGGATAATATAAACCACTTCCATTTTCAACTCTCAAAAAAATAGCTATTTTACCTATTTATTTGAACCACTCAATTTTGTGTGTTAATACGATATTGAGTTTCAGTCCAGGTTCACAGAACTTGGGACTTCTCAAATATCACATCCATGAAATATGTGATATTTAAATTAAAAAAATAATAATTTTTGCTAAAACTCTTCCAAGGAATACTTTTTTTTCCTCCATGAATTCCTATTTGCGGAATAGTTTTATGTTGTGCATAACTTCTAGCACACTGGCTGTGTTACAGGGTAATTAAAAGTATTTGGAAAACCTGGGGCACGAACCCGTGTCCCCTGCATCGGCAGGCGGGCTCTCAACCACGCTGCCACCAGGGAAGCCCGTGACTGAACTTTTAAAAACAGAGCAAGTGCTTGCTTCAGCAGTACATACACTAAAATTGGAATGATACAGAGAAGATTAGCATGGTCCCTGCACAAGGATGACACACAAATTCATGAAGCGTTCCTTATTTTTAAAATAATTAATTAATTAATTTAAAAAACATTTAAACAAAAGAACAAAAATCCTAGGTGTTCCTTTGTAAAAGCAAAGTGCTTTTCTCTTATGTTTCTCTTTTTTTTCCTCTAAAAGATATGTACTGTACTGTTTTTTATTTCTTAATCACATGTTTTCTCTTGGCTATTGCCTCTTGAGTAAGCTAAATATATGTGTAATATCTATTCATAACCTTCTCTGTCATGTAGGGAGGAAACCTGATGCTCATGGCCTTTCATCAGTTTTAGGACAGTTTTTATCCAGTGACTGATTATCTGATTTTATGTGAACACCGGTTTTTGTTGCCTATGAAATAGCATTTGATCTGGCTTGTACACTGAAATCAATTTGTGTTTGCTGTCTGTAGTCTGCTCTGTGTGTCTTTAATGTTCTCGTGTGCTTATAACATACCTATTAATATAGAATCAAGTGGCAGGAACACAAATAGAATATTGTATTTGCTTAGAGTTTTTCCATAATCAGATATAAAATCAGGTGTTTGGAACTATTTGAAAAGACCATGAGAACAAAATAAATGATATGAACATTTTTTCTGCACTAACTTATTTCATTTTGTGGTGGTCATACAAAATGTTGGATCTGCTAACTTTTTTGGTAGGTAACGGAGGAGGACAGAGAGCTATGCATATTTGATACAGTAGAAAGTAGACTTTTTATTAACTATTTATAATATAATCATCTAGGGCCTTTATTTTTATCCTTAGTATGTGAAAATTAGTTTTTAAAGTCATATGTAAAACATGGTTGTTGCCTGTAATGTTTTATTTTCCCTTTTTTTATGACTTTATTCAAATATTACAGTAAAGCGAAAGACATGGAATTAGGTTTAAAAATTTCCCTTCATAATAACCTGTATCAATCATAATTACATTGTTACTGTTTTAAGTTTTCTGTTGTAACCATGGAAGAGCTTACCCATTTTTATCATATACCTTTTTTTTTTTAAATAGCCAAAACAATGTTTATTCAGTTATTCTGAGGAAGTTAGAAATGTTTATCATTCCATTAAAACAATATTCTATAAAAATATTTTTAAAAGAAAAATATGTCTTCTCTATAATTAATTTAACCTTCAGTAATAAATTATGTGAAGTAAAATTGTATAAAATTTCCTGATATTTTATGAAGATACCTGCAAATAAGCCAGACAGCAAATAAAATATCTGGAAGACAGAGATGGATACTCAGTAATTTTTTGATGGATTACACACATAGGTATCAAATTACTTGATCCTTACTTTCTAGAAAAGGTTAATGACTCTTTTTGCTTTTACCCTTTTACTTAACTGTTATTTATAAAGATTAAAACAGGAGCTGCATTGAAGGATGCATCTGCCAATGTGTCAGTTTGACTGTACAGGTTTTTCTGATAATTCAGGGGACTGAGCCACACTGTTAATCATTGTTTTCAAAGTTCATTCAATTCTGTACTACATGTTCCACTATGGCCATTAGAGCGGAGTACACCATTCAAAAACCTTTTAACTGAAATGAAACCAGAAAAGACTTTAAATCTTACATATCTATATCTATATTATGAATATGGCCTATATGTATGCAACAATTCATTTAAAATGTTAAGAATAAAACATTTTAAAGTAAAAGATTTTAAAGTTCTTATGTGTACGATTTGTCTTTCATCTAAATCAGTGTTACAGATTTTTTAAACATTTTTATTTTGAATAAAATTTCACAAAATGTGTACTTCAGTGTTATCAAAGTCCATCATTAATAATTAAACCATGAGCAATATTACCATTCTTTTATAATGACCATCTGTCTATATTCTACACTTTCATTGCATTATTTTTTATGTAAATAACATATGTTCATTATATAGCACATGTTTACTAATCCTTTATTACCAAATGTAGCACTACTCTTACAGGAATATCTCTCTTTCATCACTTTGGTTTTAAAAGATGTGCTAGTCATAAATGTATTTAATTAAAGTCATTTAGGTATTAGAGCACTTGAGTTTAAAGCAGGGAATATAATACCTTTTCCTGAAACACCTTGAAAGAAGTTTGTTGAAAGGAGAGAGCTGTGGCATTCATCAAACGCTGACCTCTTCCTGTTATAGTCCTGGCCAAACTCTTGCTAATTTAACTTGAAACGCATTAGTGTAACTCACCATTTTTTGTATGTGTTTTAGGTGTGTGGAGGTCATTGCAAAGGAAGGACAAAACCTGAAAGAGCTGTATTTGGTGTCCTGTAAAATCACAGATTATGGTATGTAATGAGCCATTGTCCTAATCATTTTCAAGAATAAAAAGGTACAAGATCTTTGAAAGCTTTTTTAAAAGAAATCAAAAGCTACTAACTCATAGAGACTATGAGTTTTATCTTTACTTGTAGTCTCTGATCACACCCCCCTGAATCAAGAAATCATGAAAATGGAACCAGAGTAAAAATGAACATGTATATCAGTTTATCACCACATGTAATCATACACACATATGTGCACATGCACATACACACTCACATAGGATTAAAAAGTATGGCTAAAATTGCTGTGTGATGAAAATAAATACTAGGATAATTAAATATTTGGTATAATAAATATAAAGTAACTATTACATTGAGTTGATTTGCTTAATGTCATGTAAAATGCATTCTTGTGCCATTCCAAATGCCAACCTTCTTAATGCCTTAAATTCTTTAAAACGCTGGAAACTTCCAATAGGAAGTTCAGATATACAGGAAGTAAAGGGTATACATTTGTTTGTAAGAGTTTAAATTATCTTAATTTTAAATATCCCTTTAAAGTGGAGAAAAGCAAGTTGTTTTTTAAAAATATGAAAAGTATGAAATTGTCCTACTGGAGTAATAAAGAAAAGTAAGCTAGCCTTTCCTTTTTCATTCAGCTTTATATATTTTTTCCTATTAATTTGCATATGTAATCTAAATACAGAGTTTTAGCTAATTATTTGGCTTTATGGGAGACTAAAGTGGTTTCCATTTTTCTTTTCTGATTTTTAAATTTGTTCCTTTAAACTGGAGAATATGCTTTCTGCCTTGAAGGGAACTAATAATCCATTAAGTTTTTTATTGTTAACTCCAACATATGCTAATAACCGACTCCAATCCCAAGATGTCATACTGACCATCTGCCCTGGGTGGGAGAGTTGTATTTTATCAGCTACTAAACTCATCCTTTGGAAAAATTCTATGAAAGCTGTAACAAAAAATAAAAAATAACATAAAGGATTTGGCTTGAAAATAACCCTAATTTCTTTTCAAAGTTTATTTTTTGAGAATGGTAAATGTCTTACATGGACTTATCTATAATGTTTCTGGGTTGTTGTCTTTTTCCTAATTATACCATGAGAAAGGAGTGTTTTGATATGTTTTCTTTTTACTTGTAGTTTGTTTTCTGGTTTGGCATATTAGATTGCCACTTAGATACAGTAACTCTAAAACCTCCAATATCTCCCTATTGTCTAGGCCTTAGAGTGTTCTCTCTGCCCAACACAGGGCATATCCTCAATACCTGTAGATTTGTTAATTAACTAGTACATTCATGCATTGCAAACTCTACTTGGCATTCAAGATCCTTTACCATTTGTCTCCTACCTGCCCCTCCAACCTTACTTTATATTTCTCCCTTTTACCTGTTTGCTGTCAATGTCAGATTGCTAATTGCCAGGAGAGCTATGGATTAAGTTCTTTAGAATGAACTCTTCAAGGTCCTGCAGTGGAAAATGTTGCTAAAGTTACACTCTGTCCCAGTACCAGTTAAGTTAGCCAGTGCAAAGAAATGTTTCAGAAGATATGGAAAAGAGAAAAAGCTTTGGACTTGGGACAGATCTGGGAGCAAGTTCTGTCTTCGTTCCTTGTTCTTTGGCCTTAGGAAAGTTTCTTCACGTCTCTGAGGCTCATTTGTCTCATTTGTGAATTGACTTCATGCTCCTGTGTGTACCTGGTACCTAGTCTAATGATTAGCACAATGTATACTGCTGAGAAAAATTGCTTTCTTACAGGAGTGGGACAGAGAAAAGATTCACACAAAATTCTTCTACCTCCTTTCCTTTCCTTGGAAGGAAGGAAGGCTTATTGCTATTGCTATTGTTTATTGCTATTGTTTACTGCTATTGTTTATTGCTCAGGTTCTGATATTTTGAGATCTCAGGATTTTTTTTCTCCTGGTGAGGTGAAAACTGTTAGAACTTTGCCCATGTGGTTTGCATTTATTCCTATCTCTGAATTATTTAGGTCAGCGGTTCTCAACCCTCTCTGCACATTAGGGTCACCTGGGGAGTTTCTAAAGCATTCTGATGCCTGAACCTTATACAAGACTAATTAAATCAGAATTTCTAGGAGGTGGGGCCCAGGCAATAAAACCCGCCTAAGTGTTGTCAATGTCAGCCAAAGTTGAGAACCACTGATCTAGTCTAGTTGAGAGGAAGTAGAAGTGAAAATTTTGAGGACTTCCTTCTTCCACCCAGACATGAAATCTATCACGTTTTTTTTTCATACCTCAGTCCCTCCAGCTTTCAAGCTCTCTGCCCCACCTAGTCTCTCTTCCTTCTTCCGTGAGGTTTTAGGTGTTCTAAGGATTTGTGATGAAAGTCTCTGTGCATCTGTTGGTTCTGTTTTTCAAAATGTTTGGGCACAGTTGAGGATGAGGGGGAAAGGTCAATAGTTTATGAGATTTTACTATAATTGCTACTTGATTTTAAAATTAAAAGAAGTTACTAAACACTCAGCTCAGTGCATCTTTTTTCCTCTGGTACCATGCCAATAACACGTGAACAATTTTTGTCAAAAAGACAGCAAGAAAGATTCTTCATTGTAACCAGAGAAACGGCATGTTATTGGAGGTCATTGCTCTACTAGGGGAGGCTGTGATCCCTTGCCCTGTGTTAATTATAAATTTTAAGAAGGAAAAGCAGATGCTTTCTTCCTTCTTTAACTGGATAAATAAAGACATATTCTGTGGGACTTTTTGATTTTTGAGGCTACTTAGAAATTGTAAAATTTGATGTACACCTGATACCAGGGGAATCTCATCCTTCAAGAGACTACTCCCTAATTCTGCTTCCTATTGCTTTGCTCATATTCTAGCTAGTCTTCTCCTCACCTCCTTTTTTCTTTGGTGCTGTGTTCGTACATGCATTCAGTATAGTATCCTGAGATTTTTGAAGTGTTTTTGCAGGATGCATTGATTCAGAAACAGCAGCTCGCCTGGCTTATCATTTGTAATTTTTCTCAAGATTCTCACAGTTGTTGAGTGTAGTATTATAGTACTTAGCAACACCTGCCCAGGCTGTTAGTTAGGAAGCTATGTTCTTTTTTTTTTAATTAATTATTTATTTATTTATTTTTGGCTGCATTGGGTCTTTGTTGCGGTGCATGGGCTTCTCATTGCAGTGGCTTCTCTTGTTGTGGAGCACGGGCTCTAGGCGCACAGGCTTCAGTAGTTGTGGCACACATGCTTAGTTGCTCCGCAGCATGTGGGATCTTCCCGGACCAGGGCTCGAACCCATGTCCCCTGCATTGGCAGGCGAGTTCTTAACCACTGCGCCACCAGGGAAGCCCAGTTGTGTTCATTTTAATTGATATATGATACAGTTGTCATGAAGAAAACTATCATTCTAATAGGCTTCTTATTCCCCAGATTGAACATAGATCTTTATGGTAAAGGATAACAATTATAAACAAATCAATATTTCAGGCACAGCGAAATGGAAAATACAGTCTTGGGAAATTGCTCCCTAAAGAGAAATCTAATATTGTCACTCTTCTGTCACTAAACAAATAAATGTTATAGGTCGTATCGTGGGAAAGAAACTCAAACTGAGTCAGAGAAGTAGGTTAGAATTTGCCTCTTCTTTTCCTTGTGACCTTGAGCAAGTTACTTAACCTCTTAGTTTTGTCATCTGTTAAGCACATGATAATACACACCATAAAAGGTAGTGAAAATGAATATAAAACATCTGTGTTGTGCCTGGTGGCATAGTGGACACTCACTAATTGGCAGTTGTTTTTTTTTTTAATTTATTTTTATTTATTTATTTTTGGCTGCATTGGGTCTTCATTGCTGCGCGGGGGCTTTCTCTAGTTGCTATGAGCAGGGGCTTGTTGCAGAGCATGGGCTCTAGGCGCGTGGGCCTTAGTAGTTGTGGCTCGTGGGCTCTAGACTGCAGGCTCAGTATTTGTGGCACTTGAGCTTAGTTGCTCCTTGGCATGTGGGATCTTCCCCGACCAGGGCTTGAACCCGTGTCACCTGCATTGGCAGACGGACTCCCAACCACTGCGCCACCAGGGAAGCCCTAATTGGCAGTTTTTATAATTACAGAATCATCTCTTTTTCTGAAGAAGAATTAGCCCTCCTCCTCCAAGTGTGGCTTTCTGTTTGTGGGAATCATTATTTAGAAGTTTGACCTGTATTAGTCTATACATGCCTAGTTGACTTCCACACCTAAGCTATCTAAACCAGATTCTTATTAGTGGGGAATAAAAAGAAAGATGCAGCAAAAAGTATAAAATCTTTAATTTGTCTCCCTATCTTAGGTTTCTTCCCTATCTCTTCTCTATGTTACCTTCATTTTTGTTTGGATAATTTTCTCTTGGCTTCCCGTATGCTTTTGTTTTTTGTTATAATAATTTATCAACTAATAATTTCCAACCAACCTTTCTGCTCACCTTCAAACACTTTTCTGTTGAAAATTCTCCTCCTTCAGAACACTGTATCCTTAGGATTAAAGGGAAAACAACTTGTATCATTCAAGCCTACAGAGGTCAGAGCCAGTCTTACTCCAGCTGCAAGGCATAGAACATGTGGTATAGTAAATGGGATGGATGAATAAAGCCTGTATCTCCATTAGCATCTCTGTAGTGAAGGTTACCAGTGTGACCCTGTGTCAGGGAGCAGTTGTAAAAAGGACCCAGGTTCCTTTCTGGGTTGTTATCACATTTCCTTTGACTTTATTTAGCACTCCTCAGGGCCCTTGAAATACACTCTAGAGGATATCTTTTTGCTTCCCATCTCAAGTTGTCAAATAACCTTTTAATTAAAGAGGACTGTAAACACTCAACTACTGACATCGATGTTTGGGGCCTACAAGTCTCTGACAACCCACAGGCTCATCTGGGCCGTTCCACATTCTCCCGTCACTCCCGCAGGCCCTGGGGCTGCTCTCTGAGGACAGTCTTTGACTGCCCCTTACTCTGCTTGCCAATGCGCCTCTGCCTGATCTGGGCCTTTTAAACCTAACCCCAAGGCTTGC